AGTCGGTACAGGTATCAAGTTGAAAACAAAAGGATCCTTCATGTGCGCCATTCTTGGAAATGGTCTTGCTAGCTGTACAGAAGTCACTGTAATTGCTATGGATGGCAACTGATGAGGTTTGGTGGTAGCGTAGGGAAAACCAGATAGAGAGACTTTGCATCTTGAGATCCTTGAGACACCAAGGGGACTTGTCAAGTGACTCCACATGATAGGAGTCAACAGTGACTGTTACATTGCTCCAGCAAAGGCCTGTACAGCGTCAGATTCTCGGTCCTTTAGACTTTCTAAAATCAATAACCCGAATGGGCTTTGGACCGGTTTTGATCCCTCATCTCTGGCATATAGGGTCAATTGGTCTGTATAATTTACAGGTCTGTCCAACAGTAAGGGGCTGGCTGGTGCTGCTTCCACTATCAAGACATCATTGTCTTTATCAATCCTATATCCTTCCTGGTATGCTATTTCTAGGGTGGTCATCTATATCTTCATAGCCTCTTGGTCTTTCACTGGGTCCAAAAATGTCTCCTGTTGCCTGGTCATCCATCCCACTGACAACTCCATGAGGGGTTTTGAAAATATCCTGTGTTGCTTTCGGTTCCAGTGAATGAACTCCTTTTCTGCTGGTACAACCTCTTGGGTGACTCAGCATAGGATGTAGGATGTTTGGTTTGATAAACTCCAGTGAGAACTCAGCAAGAGTGAGGCCTCCTGCATTAGCAGCGCTGTTGGGGACCTCTTGAGAAAAAGGAAGATCATGTAGGAAGGACAGTGCGGTGATGCCAGGGGCAGGCAAAACTAAATCTCAATACTCGTTAGGGATTTCTCTCAGTGCGGCATCAATGAGCAATCATCCACTTGATCCACCAATCCCGCAGGGGTCACCCTTTATTCAGGTCCTAAAAAGGGCTGCCTCCATACAGTCAATATTACGATCCACATCCTCTGAATCAAAACTCTGCGATCCCTCTTTGATCCTGACAGGTAGTCCAGGCATGATCACAGAATGTTGGGTTCAACCAAAATGTTAAAATCAGAAGACTAGTTAAGCAAGAAGGTCGCTTAACGATGCACTGTAATGGAGGCGCTCTCAGGTAGATGGTTCCAATTGATACAACCATAGCAAACTTCGACTCTCTTGAATACAGCTCTTGCAAAATTTTAAGAATTAAAGGGAACACTAAAGCTTAATATTGTTAAGCTCTAGCTTATCTCAATTAAGGTCTCACAAGAGGATGTTGATTGTGTTGGGGTAGGAGAGTTCTTGTATAATCTTTAAGTAGTCCGACCTATACCAAAAACTCCCCCATCTGGTTACCCTAACCAACACGAGTATATCCTTCTCCATCAGAGCTGCGTGGTACTATGACCACATCCCGGAAGGGCTGAAGGTGTCCGCGCACCCTAGCAGCAATCTCCTACATACACATCAGTCCTACGAGGTGTTTACCAATAAACCTGCCTGAGTAAAAACCTCTGGGCATCCGAGTCTTATCACTGACTAACCGTTGAGACACCTAGGATAGCCAAGTAATAACTCTTTTCCCATATGCTATGACCCATACACATAGGCATAGACATCAACTATCTTCCAGTTAAGTTCTGTCTATCTTGATTGCGTACTTACAAGTTCGAAAATGCTCCTACGGAGAGGTGTGGTAGGGGCAGGACCCATGGGCACTACCCATGGTGCCTTACCCCTAGCATACCACTCCCTGTGATATGTATCATACTATTAGAGTCCTCAAACAACTTACAAAGAGTCTACAGCAATAGTGTACATGTAGGCTTGATTGGCGTAAAACCTTCGCAGCTGTCTCCAGCACTACCTGGGACTACTCTGGAGACTCTACTCAATGGCTCATGCTTACTCTGTCAGTTTTGCTACATTATCCTCTGTTCTTTATGGAGAAGCTATTTGACCTTCTCATCTTGGTCCCCTTATGGATCCTGCAAACAACCTTGAGTCTGATGGACGGCAGCACTGTATCCAGTATTATGGACATGTCTTCATAGACTCCAGTTAGCTAGTAAGATGGCCACTCTCCCCATTTGGCCCATGACTCCCAGGGCAAACCCTGGGGCCGCAGGTACCTCAGGAATTATTCTGCCTAGTTACAGCATGTTCTAAGTACTATAGCTCGTCTTATAGTCTTCCAATCAGTATACAAACAAGTGCCTATTGATCACTGTTGCATAACCAATGATTCTACCATTTCTCTGAATTCCTCTCAGAACATTTTCGACAGAAGATAGAGTAATAGTGTCCCCAAGGTAGGGTAAGTATCCTTCATGGTGACATGATGGTGACATGAAACTGGTCTCCATGGTAGGGCAATGTGACTTTCCTAGACAGGATAAACTCACCCAGTGTTTCCACCTATCCTAGGGTCAGAGCAGACATAGCCACATTACTTCCGCTTCTTAGGTACACCTATTCCTCAAGTCCCTTCTCTTCTTTGGAATACCTAGACCATCAGATATTCCTTGGCCAAGTGTTAGCATGCCCACCTAGTCTACCATTTGACCTCTTGGTCCTATGTATGGGCCTAGACATATGTTGTCATAGCTCTATAATGTAGGGTTGTTACACCTCAACCCCTGATTTTCCTCTAGGGAACTATGCAAATTGCCAATGTTTAGTAGAGATAACAACATTTTCATAACTGCAAACTCATTATCACATGACCTGTCTATTGGTAACATAAGTGTCACCTTTTGAAAGATATTTTGAACCAGACTTTAGTACATGAGATTAAATAATTTGCAAAGCTTCTCTGACAACCTGTGTTACAAGATTTCTGTATTTAGCAACCGCTGATATCATTGTTATTATGATTTCATATGGGTCTTGAGAATGGCTTTCCTCATATTGGTCCAGAAGCTGATCCAGTTGGTTGCACAAAAGCTCCATAAATGGCTTATTTCCTGCTCTATCAACTGACTGCACTAATGGTATACAACACACAGGAACCTGTGCAGGAATGATATCATGTGAAGATAAAGTCTGCAGTACCTGATCTCTATGATGAAATATTATAACATTTCATACAAGGAGAGTAGGTCTAGCTAGGAGAGTAGGAACAAGATGATTCTTGATCCAGTGAGACAATAAAGACCAATTTGAGTAGGTTGTTTCGTTCCCGTGTATTTGAACTCACTTATTGTATTATTGCATTTCTCCTCATTATTTCTGCTCATAGTATCATGCTCTTGATGGCCCCTCATAGCTTTCCTTTTCTTTGAAAATTATTAGTTGTTGAATCATTTGGGTGCTGTTATGTAAAAAATGTACCAATCTCTTAATGCAACAAATGTACTTCACTTCATATGAAACTTCTTGAGCATGTAGAGTACCCTCTAATAGTCTTAAAAAATATTTATCAAAGAAATTTGTACATCTATAGACTCACAATTAG